AGTCCTGAGTAGAGGGGCCTGCCTGGCCCCAGCCTCAGAAAGAGTCAAGAAGCAAGAAAAAAAGCTGGCTGTTCTGGGTCCAGGTTCAGGCCTGGAGAACTGGTCTGGTACACCTGTTAGAGCACCTTGAAGAATACAGACAAAAAAGAAGGGCCAGACACAGCGGGACTCAGTGACACAGGCTGTGATTCCAGCCACTCCAGGAGACTGAGGCAGAAGTGCAGGTTGGGGGCTAGCTTCAGCAACTGAGGGAGACCCTATCTCAATTAAAAAAAAAAAACAGCTGAAGATGTAGATCAGTGGTAAAGCACCCCTGAGTTCCAATCTCCAGTACCAAAAGAGGGGGGCAGACACAGGTTCCCCCACAAACACATTAGGGATTGAACACAGGGGCTCTGGACCACTGAGCCACACTCCCAGCCTTTTTACTTTTGTTTTTGGTACCAGGGATTAAATCTAGGTGTGCTTTATCACTGAGCTACATCCCAAACAGTTTTTTTTTTTTTTTTAAATTTTGGGACACTCTCACTAAGTTGCTGAGCCTGCGGGGGCTCCTCCTGCCTCAGCCTCCCTGGTTTCTGGGTATACAGGGATGCCCCTACCACACCAGGCTCAGGCACAGGCTCTGAGCACTTGACAGGGATGCAGAACTGAAGGCTGTGGCAGAAGCTATTGGGGAACTGGCATTGAAGGATTATTTGGCTCCAAAGAAAGGTAATGAGTAACCCTTAAGAACCCAGGTAAGCTTTATCTTCTATCTGCCTCACACCCTCCTCACACACACCTTTCCTCCCCTAGCACTAGGACAGGACTCACATTTCTCACCCTAGAGGGGTCTGGGAGGAAGGCTGATGTTATTTATCCATAGGCAACTGGGAGCAAGCGCCCAGCGTCACTAAACCTGGGAAAGTTCTTTCCATCCGCCAAAAGGTGAGTAGGAGGTGGATGGATCCCCCTACCGGATGTTCTTCAAGAATGACCAGAACAGGCCCATACCCTGTAGAGACAGCTTGGATTATGATTCCAAGCAAGACAGACCAGAAAGGATGGCCACTTTCTCAAGTTAGTCTGTTTCGTGGGGCTGGAGATATAGATCAGCTGGTAGAGTGCTTGCTTCACATGCACAAGACCCTGGGTTCAATCCCCACCACCACCACAAAAAAAAAAAAAAAAAAAAAAAAAGAGGGATTGGGAATATAGCTCAGTTGATAGAGTGCTTGCCTGATTCTTGGAGAAACCGAGATCTAAGAGTTCTTTGAATGAAGCTGAAAGAAGGGGCGACCTTCCTGCGGACTCTTTCCCCATTCCTCTCCACTGACAGCGGAGGACCTGCTGTTATTCTGTATAAGGAATGCATGATGGTAATGTCACCTGCCTCTGGGTCCAGGGTTCAGGACGCAGCAACTGACTCCGGCCCTGAACCTGTCTGTTCCTCCCCCAAGAGGAAGCCCACTAGTTCCTCCAGAGCAGTGAAACTAATATCCGTCATTGTGCTGTACTGTGCTGTATGTATCAGGCTGCAGCGGTTGTATGGAACCAAGGAAGGACTACACTGGAGTTTCAATAGGGCAGAGCCACTGAGTTTAGGTCATTGCCCTGCCCCCTACCTACTGGGATCCTCTTCCCACCTCCCTCATATTCAGGTTCCTCAGTCGATTTCCAAAATGTTAGAGGAGGCAGAGGCCATAGGAAATTCTCTCTGAGTCCCTAGGGTCTTGGCCCGATTGGGGTGTCAGGCCCCAAGCGGAGACTGATCACGAAGGCGAGATCAGTAAACTTAGGACACTGGTTCTCTGGTCCCAACCACCGGATGAGAAATTCCCATCCCAACAAATTCGCTCCAGACGGACTCAACGCCTCCAATTCTGCGTCTTACGCTAGACAGCTGGGGTCCCAGAGCCAGACGTCGCCTCAAGGTGGGCGCCCCAGCCATGTCATATTCAGAAGAGACAGACATCATTCCACAACCTACTTCCTGGCCCTCGGCTCAGCCAGACGCACGACCTAGCCAAGAGGCCGTATCCTGGTACAAGTGCGCCAAGCCTTGCAGATCTAGGACCAGCAGGAGGTACAGCGGAAGGACGCTGTCTCCCGGAATAGAAGGACGCGCTAGTGGGAACTCTGTGACCGCGCACGGCCGGCCTCCTGGGTAAGGAGCTGGGACATAAGGGCAGCGAGCCGGGGAAATCGTAGGGGAGGCCCCAGCGGCCTGGAGTTGGAAAGCCTGGGTTCAAGCGTTGCCCAGACTCCAGCCTCTGCCTGAGGTCTCTGTTAGGACAGGGGTGCTGCTTGGAGAGGAGACCCAGTCCCCACCCCCACCTCCGTACGCACTCTGGCCTCCTTCTTGCGCAGAAGCCCTGACTTCCTCATCGGATTCCTGTGCGCCCTGCGCTGCCCAGGCCTTCGGGGAAGAAAGAGCCGAAATTTCTGCCGAGGCCGAATCCCGTACCACGTAAAACGAACAAGAGAAAAGGCAGAATAAAGGGCGCGGGAGAAAGGAGTCTGGGAACTCCCAAGACAACACCAGCGGACCCGGCTGAGTTTCCCCCGCAACCAGTGACTGGAAGCTGTTGGAACCTCCCAGGTTCTGGCTTCGCGGGACTAGACCGGAGGCCACCAGCCTCTCCCGGGAGAATGGCCCTACTCACCAGTGAGTGAGCTCAGAAACTCAGCCATAGACCCCAGAAAAGCACGCTGGAATGGAGCTCTGAGTCACTGGTACGGAAAACTGCCGTTGGTGAAATAAAAAATGAAGACGGTGGAAAAAGAACCTCGAAGGGTCCAGCAGGTGCTGTTCCACTTGTGTTTGCACAGAAACCCAGGCCTGTGTGTGGCAGGAGGAACTGTGAGGTCTGGGGGTGGGGAGATGGTGTTGAGTGCTTTCTGCTTGTAATATAATTCTATGTTGGACACATCTTACTTGGATAAAAATAAATACATTTGAAAGCCAGAGAGAAGAAATGCTGGAGTGCAGAGTGGAGGTGGCTAGAGGATGAGATGGCCAGCATCCTACTGGGGGAGGGGATGGTGCTGGCCCTGGTGGGGGTCCTTGAGGAGCTTGGCTACCTTCCAGGGGCCAGGCTAGGAGGGGCCCAGTGCAGGGCTCACAGCACTGAAGCTGCAGGAATCTCCTTCAGCCAAGCTTGATTTGGCTGGGTCACACTTCCCCCAGAGCCATTCTGTAATTCAATAAACTTCCTTTCTCACCTGTTTTCCCTACACTCCAACAATCAGGTTCCCTGGACTTACAATCTCAGCTCTTACAATTAGTCCACATTGTTCTCCCACTGCACACAACTACCACCTATTCTGGGCCCAATCCCCTTTCTGCAATCACCCACTCATATAACTTGTGGCTGTATTTCCTTCTTCTCTTCCTCTTTTCCTTCCTCCTTCACTCTCTCCTGTCTTTTTTCCATTAGTATTGACCAGTAAGCCTTCTCCTCTGTCTTCTTTACCCTCCTCTCTTTTCCTGGGTCCCAAATTCTTAAAGAAGTCATTGAGAATCTCCCAATTAAGTAATTGGTGAGCCCCCAACCACCTCTCTTTTGACTAGAGCCATCTGGAATTGGACACGTACACACACACAACAGGCTCATATGCACACTGCAAACACAGTGTGCTTACCCCTCACAGGAGTCACGGAGGCACTCATCCTTGCCACAAATACACCAAGGAATCCACAGCCTCCCTCTCACAGAAACTTTGACCAGATCCTTGTACATACTGAAACACCTTTGCTAGTACTTAGCATCTGACACTCCAGCAGTTCAGAAAAGGCAAAGAACTTCTGAGCTTAGAGCATTTGGGGGATGGGGCACAGCCCCTATGGCACACACATATTTGCACGCACACCTTCCCTGGGCATTCTTTCTTTCTTGCCCCTTTCTGAGTCAAAGAAAGGGAAATCCGGGCTGGCACCTCCTGGCACTGTCTAGAGTGAAGATAAACTCGAAAATACTGCCCACGTGGACGTCTCAGAAAGCCAAGTGCTGTGCCCAGGGACCCTCAATGCCCAGCTTTTCATAGCCAGATCCTCCCCGGCTCCATCCACGCCCACCTGCTGCCCCGCGCTGCTCGCCCGCATCCCAGCCGGGACTGGTCCCAGGAGACTGGACGCAGAGCAAGGAGCAGGGGGAGCTTCGCAAGAGAAAGCGCAAGGAAATGCCCGAGTTCTATCCCTGTTTCTAGATGCAGTTCTCTTGAGCAAAAACCTCAGAGGTTTGGGGGAGACGGGACGTTTGCTGCCCGCCAAGATCTCAGTCTCACTCTTGACTCCGGGATCTGGCTGTCTGTTCACAGGTCACCCCTCCCTTACTTACACACTCATACACACCCCAGGGTGCGGGTGTAGCGGTCTTCTCCTGGCCCCATTCTCCCAGGCTCATTTACCCCAGGAGAGCTCTTGCTCTCCTAGAAGGGCAGGAAGGGGCTTGTGTTCTGTGTTCATGAGTGTAGATGTGGGTATGAATCTGCAGAGTGGCGCACTGAACCCCCGGCCTGCGGCCCTGTCTCCCCCCCCTCCCCACCCCGCCTAGCGCTCGAGCAAGTCCAACCTCCAGTTCTCTGCTCAATCTCGCCTGGGTCGCCTTCCTCGCGCACTTTTGGTTATTGATCCAGCTGAACCGGCGGGAGCGCGGAACTGCGCTTCCCTAGGGACGAAGAGAGTGGGGAGGGGAGTAGATTGGGGGATAGTGAGGGGAGGTTGATAAACTTTAGGAGAAGGGTGTAGGGTGTTCCTCAGAACCCCAAGGCAGACCCAGCCTCCCTCTGCCGGGCTCCGAGCAGGACAGAACTAGGGGTGGAAGAGTGGGGTCACCACCTCCTCCCCCTCCTCGTCCCCTCTCCGCCTCCCGCAAGGCGCAGAGCCCCAGTGAGCCACCGAGAGCCCGAGAACCCTGACTCCTGCCCAATCAGCAGGGAGGGGAGGAGCAGCCAGGCAGGGGCGGGGCGGACGGAGGAGCCGTAGGGAGGGGGGCGCGAGGGGCGGGGAGCCGCGGGCTAGGCTGCTGCGAAGGCGGCAGTGGCGGCCGACATGGGCGATGGGGGCGCGGAGCGCGACCGCGGCCCTGCACGCCGGGCGGAGTCTGGTAGCGGCAGTGGGCGCAACGGGGATCTCAGCGGAGCGGTGGAGTTGCAAGCTGACGCGGGTGGCGGAAGCCCAAAAGAGGTTGCCGGGACTTCGGCCTCCAGCCCTGCGGGCTCCAAGGAGAGCAGCGCAGACAGTGATGGGCAGTCCGGGCCCGGCGAGGCGGACCACTGCCGCCGCATCCTGGTACGAGGTAAGACGACAGCCCAGGACTCTGGTCCACTGGGCTCGTACCCTATCCCTATCAGGGCCTCCGACTTTCCTGACTCCTCCACCTTCCAATTCATATATTCATTCATTCATTATCCAGGCTTTCTTCAGCAAATATTATTTTGAGCGTCTATTGTGTGCTGGACACTGAGCTGAGTGCAAGGGACAAAGCAGCGAATGGAAGAAGTCCCCGTTTCTCCGCCTTACTGTTCTCATTTTCTTGGCCCGTCCCCTCTCTCTAGGCCCATCCCGGTTGGTTACTGTGGTGGAGACAGATATGAGTCTGGGGAACAGGATGCTGAGAGCCGAGTTCTTGTCCGGTGTCCCTTAGGGCAAGTACGGAGAAAAGCATCACATGCGCTCCGCAGGGACAAGACGTGGGGGGAACCAGAGTGGACAACCGCGTGAGGAAGAGGCCCAGGCTCCGCTAAGCTGCCAGAGCACTTCCTCTCCTCCTGCCCAGCCTTGTCTCCCATCCCCGGCAATAGGGATCCTCATGAGTTGCTCCCGGGAGAGGGCACCGCTCTCTGGGGGCGGCGCGCGCCGTGCTAGCCTGCCTGTGCTTTGCTGTTCCGGTTCCCACTTCCTAGCGGCGCCTGGGCCCAGCTGGCTCTCGGCGCCGCCTTCCCCCGCCTTCCTTTTGCGTCCTTCCCTCTCTCCCTTGCCCCTCGCTCTCCTGTCTCCTGTCTTCTTTCCTGGCCATTTCTCAGCGCGGAACTCGCCTTCCCAGCACTCTCTTCCTGCAAGCGCCCGGGGAGGCCCAGGCTCCCAGGCCCCTAAAGCCAGTCTCCTACGTAGCTGAGGGGTCTGCTTTCACTTGATCTGGGCCTCGCCCATTGAGAAGGGAGGAGAAAGGAGTCTCTAGGGTCTTACCCCCAGCTGGTCCCCAGGCTTCGAGCCGGAGGCTGCAGTCGGCTGCCGCTGGCCATCCCGGAGTCCGCTTTCGCGGGTAACCGCTCGCCAGAGCTCCATCTTCGGATCGCTAGCTCGGCTTCCTTTCGCTGCCTCTTTCCATCCTCTTCTTCCTGAGTACCTATCCTAGAAGCCACCAGGCCTCTGGAGGGGACTGGCAAGAGCCGATTTCCTCCTCCTCCTGAAGATCCGAGTTTACCAAATCTGAGCTCTAGCCGGTCGCCTCCAGAGGCCCGTTGGCTTTTAGGACTAGGGTATAGCAGGGAGGCACTCTCACATGAAGGTAAGGGACAACCGTCTTCAGCATAACCGCAGGGATCTTGGTTTGGGAAACACTACTGTGACCTGGTGTGGTCACCAGCATATTGGGTGGCACTGCTGCTCTGGGATCAGGCTTGAATCAAGGCAATACACCATCAGGTATTCCAGCAGGTGAGTGGACCTGTTGGGCACCTAGGATTAAATTAGATTCCATTCTATAGGCTGTGGGATATCCATAGTGCAACATGTGAACGGTCAGTTTGGTTTCATTAAGGAAATCTGTAGGGCCTCCAGAGATGTAGAAACTGAGTCCTACCAGACCCACACACTACCTCATCACATCACACCTCATCATGGGTGGGTATTTCCTTTGCCAAGACAATTGTGAATTCTGAGCTCACCTACCAACTTCTCCATTCTATTAACATGATGTGTAGAACCAATAAATTTTCTGTGCACATGTCAATGAAATAGCTGCCAGCTGTAGACTTTTAGAAGGTACGAGTCAAAAATGACCCTCCACCCTGTTAGTGGGACCTTCTAAACCAGAGAGACATAGAATCTCCCTATATGCAGGGCAGCCTGTGTACATCTTCAGGGGGTATACTTTTATAAATGTATATACACATAGCAATGCCATTATATTTTTTAAATATAGTGAAAATATTAAATATAAAACACAGAGGATCTATTTAGACACATAACAGAGATAAAAGGCAAATCAAACCTTCATAAATCCCTTTTGCCCTTCCCCATTTAATGATGAGGAGGTGATTATAGACCTGAAATGACCAGGATGTCATTTACCACTAATCCCTCCTTGTCAGGGTTACCTGTGTCAGTCACTGGCAGCCCCTCGTGGTCAGGGTGGGGCTTTACTAAGTGAAACAGCTCTGGTTCTGGCAAAGGAAAGTCCACAGTGCCTTGGCTACAGAATGACTGTTCCTCCCATAGATCCTAAGTGCATTTTGTCCTTGACCTCTGAGGATACATTCTCCCAAAGTAAAGGAAGGAGGGCTGGGAATGAAATACAGTGGCAGAGAGATTGTCTAGCATGCTGAAGGCCCTGGGTTCAGTGCAGAATACAAAATAATAATAATAAGGGAAGATCTTAGCCTTTTCAGCCTGGGTTACTATTGAAGTTGCGCCGCACTCCCTCCGAATCTTTTCAGATTCTTTTTCATTGTGTATTCCCCTTCTTGAGGACCCACCCCAGGGCAGCAGATCTGCTGAAGGAGTCTTCAGCACTGGGCAGTAGGAGGACAGTCTGGGTAGCAGAATTATGCAAAGTTCATTTAGAATACTGGCTTTACAACCCTTTGATTCTGAACAACTTCCTTTGTCTTTGTGCCTATTTCCTCATCTGTACAAATGGACGAATAGCCCTTACCTTGAAAGGCTTGCTAAGTTTCAGAGGTGCTCTCAGTAAAACTGGAAACACCCAGCAGATCTCTTAAAATACTTGCTGAAGGAAGAAGGGAGGATTAACTCCAGGTGACCCACAAGCCATTTCTAGTGGGTTGGGCAATGGACCTATGTGTAGGAGACCTCTTCCAACTCACCAGTCCCCCAGCCCTTCCCCAACGGGTCCCCTGTGGCTCTGGGCCCAGGGACTGGGTTGTATTGGAAAGTGAGCAACCCAGGGGTCAAAAATTGGCTGGTGGTAAAGAAGAATCACTCCACCTTGCAGACCACAGAGGGCGGTTGGTCCTCCCCAGTTCCCTTGGTGGGACCAGCTTGACCAATGACTCCAGCTCTGGCTGCCTCTGTGAATATAGGGAGGCTGACTGTTCTTCCTACCCTGCCTCAAAATGGAGGCTGCTTCTCGCCATACAAACGCACAAGCATGGCGTTGGTGCATAACTGGCACATCGCATGCTTTACCTCCGAACTCCGTGAAGCTTCCACCCAGACCTACAGCCCCGCAGGCCGCTCCACACCTAGTATGCATAGCCTCTCATCCGGTGAGGGGTGGGGACGGAAGGATCTTTTTGTTTTATATTTGGAAAGGGTACACCAACCGCCCAAGGGAGGCGAATAGAAGAGGCCTCCCCAAGCCGTGGCTCTAAAGCGAGCGTGGTTCTAAAGCGGCCAGCTGTGCACTCGCCTTTTCGTTGTAGCCGGGATCCCTATAGAAGACAAGGCCCAACTCTAAACCACAATTCCCCCAGCCACCATGCACCCTCCCACGCGCTCACTCCGACGTGACTACGTTCTTTCCACATTAATCCAGATATAAATTCAATAGTACATCTTGATAAATCCGAGAATGCGCATCCGTATTTTTAAGGACATCAGTTTGGCAGTGGCACTGGCTCACCCAAGGCGACCCTCGGGTCTAGACGCCAGTCTGTGGGTCTGGAAACTCCATTCAAGAAGCATCTTCCGTGCCCCTTCTTCTGGAAGCAAGAGGGCGGGATAATGGCAGGATCCTTGAAAGAGTGACTCATCCATCCATCTATCCATCAGCAAAAAAAAAAAAAAAAAAAAAAAAAAATCCCGGCTCGCTAGTGCGCTGCTCCTTGCGCAGGGTGCTGGGGTGGGGGAAAGGGTCGCGAAGCCAAGCCTCTGGCTTGGCCTGGACAATTCCCGCGATGCTGGTGTTGAGAGAAAGGAGGATCAACCTTAGTGGGGTCTGGCCCCTAGGAGAATCCTCAGGCAATCTGGAATCGCGTTCCAAAACACCAGACAATGGCGTGCACCCGGCGGAGCCCTACCTCCCTCAGACTAGTCCAAAAGCTCCCATCAAGGGGTTTAAGAGGCTCTGGCTGGGAGCTGACTGCGGAATCTGACGCCTCTCCTCAGCAGCCAAGTCTGGGCTCAGCCCCGCCGGGCATCACTCGATTTCCACTTGAAATCTTGGCGGCCACTGGGCCTAGGGATACTGTGCCCCGGGCTGCAGGCCTAGTCCTGCGGAGCAGGCGTTTGGGCAACAAAGATGGAGGTCAGTGACATTTGGAATGAGCACCAAGCTGCCAGTCCGGGCATGGAGGCCTCCGCGGACCGCGGGACCTTACTCTCAAATCTGAGTCTGTTGATAGATCCGATAACCCAGGCCAGACGCCAGGGAGGGTTTGAAAGATTTAAACAGCTTATGCAGAGGACCATACTTAGGAATTCTTATATTTGTTTTTATTTTTATCTTTTAGTGTTTGGGGAGAGTATCAAGTTTGTTTTTTTTTTAATTTTCTTGGGGTCGCTTTGTTTTTCCTTTTTATCAGAACACTAGCATTTGGGTCTTTATTTTCCCCTTTATATGCTCATGATCCTCTCCCCACCCCCAATCCCCACCCTACCCCACCCCCACACGCAAAAGAAGCAGACCGCAGTCAAATGCATCTTGTTGGTGGGTCTTTTTCTGCCCAGTCTTCATTTTTTCCCCCGGAACCGCGCAGAGGGGGTGGGGGAGTTGGATGGCTCTTCTCTCGCGCTATTTCTGCCTCTACGTAGTAGTCATACCTCTCTCTCTCTCTCTCTCTCTCTCTCTCTTTCACACACACACACACACACACACACACACACACCCGGGTGGCTCTGGAGAGAGTGGGTATCTGGGACAGAGAAGAAAAGAGGGGATGACAGGGGTGGGCATCCCGGGGCGTCTGTGTACCCGGTTCAAGTCTTACTCTTTGCGCACTCTCTGGAAGGAGAGAGGGCATCTACGCTTAAATCAGGCCCAGGCGCCATTTCCTCAACTATCCCCTGGCCCCAAGTCCCCCGCTGGTTGGTAAATCTTAAAAATTCCATTTAACTTTGGGAAGCGTGGCCTGGGGAACATACACATTTTGCCTTCTACTTCCTGTTGCTTAG